AAGAAAGACTCGACCTGAATTCTCCTTCAAATGATCTCCTTCAATGTCTCCAAACAGTGGGCTTCGGTACCTATGCAGCGGTCTATTATACTAATTAGTTTCAACTATCACTCATCAGTCTGTTCTCATCCTCGGCTAGCTGCATCGTTAGCTAACACTCATTGGTAACGTGACCTTGCTCCACCACCGACGACGCCATCTCCTTCGGTGTGTTACGTTACAGATGTGCAAACGAAGAGGACATGTTCTGTTGTACAGAATAAAGCAGACTGCTGGCAATCAACGAACTGTTAGAACCGCAATCACATATTACACAAAAATTAAACAGTTTTTACCGGAGAAACATGCACGCAGACCCACAAGCGCCGCCATCTTGGATGGTTGGACGGACGAGCCAAAGAGAAAAAACAAATCAAGAGAGAAACCGGACAGCGTCACAGCCGTCGTCACAGGAGGCAGAGTCGGGCAACATACAACGGTATGTTAGGTAGAAATAAAATACTACTGATAACAATAATAATTATAATAATAATAATAATAATAATAATAATAATAATAATAATAATAATAATAATAATAATAATAATAACAGTACAAATAATTACATTCTTATCTGTTACATTGAAGGAAAAATGTACTGAAACTACTTTCTTACTTGCTTTCAACATATTTTGTTGTCCAAGTGGTGAGATCTAAATATAGTATATTTATACTGTTTATCAATCATGTATCAACACATATAAACTGATATATTGTTATATTTTACATATATAACTATATTACATCAAATATTGTCTCCTGGGGATTCTCCCGCGTGCTTCTCTCACCTTTACTGATACTCTCTGAACGTCGCGCGCACAAACGTCACTGATTTACCTTAAACACACTAATATGGTGACGTTTGCTTTTGTGCCCTTTAAATACCAAGCTCGTATTACTGTCAGTTGTACTGTATCATCATTGTGTTGGACTAAATGTGTGTAAATAAAATATGAAGAGTGAAATGACTCTGCAATGAGAAAAGACTAATGTGAAAAAACTGAACTTGCCCGTGTGCTGTAAAGTTTACGGTAGAGCATGGCGGCCTCCTTGATACTCGTGAGATCAGCTAGCTAGAATATTCTAGCACATTCATGTTTCTGGGTTTAAAAAGGGGAGTTCACTTGTTCCGAGCTCAAAGAGAGACATCGTGTCAATTTATACAACGCTGTTTTTATAAGACTCTTGAGAAGGTAAGTTGGGAATAAACGCATTTTGTCAACGAGATTCAGTGTTATCGTAGATACATAAGAAGCTGTAGCTAGTTATGCTAAGCTAGGTTTATGTCCGTGCTTTTAACACAGGCTGTGTCAGAGTAGTGTTAGTATCTTTAAAGTCAGGTGAACTACTGTATATAAATCTGTTATCTGGGTTTACTTCCTGTGATTGAGTGTCACATCCTCTCCTCTACTACTGCACATCATGTCTGAGATCCAGTTGTCCTTGTCTTGTTGATGTTTCTTGTTCTTCTCTTCAGCTGTGTCCATCATGGCAGAAGACAGACAGGACAGGAGATATCCCCAGAACCTCCAGGGGGTCCTGCAGCTGGCAGTGGAGGCTGGGTCAGCCGCAGAGGGACCTGCCCCTGTTGAACCCATGTCAGAGGAGGTAAGTACCTGTTAACTTTAAATGTCACATCTGAGAAGGCTTTGTGCAGATTTGGGCTGCAACTGACGTTTGTTTTCATTGTTTATTAATCTACTGGTCATCTTTGCGATAAATTGATCGCTTAATGGACTTTGGTCCAGAAAATGTCAGAAAATGCTGAAACAATGTTGATCACCGTTTACCAAAGCCCAATCTGACATCCTCAAATGTCTTGTTTTGTCCACAATCCAACGTTTACTGGCATAGAGGACGAAATAAATCAGAATATATTTACAATTAAGAAGCGGAAATCTGAGAATTTGGACATTTTTTTTCTTAAAATATGACTCAAAATGATCGATTATCAAAATAGTTGACAACTAATCGATTATGACCTTGCTGGGTCATTTCTAGTTCGCCTCAGTTACTCCCCTCAGGATCTAAGAGCAGTCTCATTAGGAGACATGATGTGAGCAACATGTACTGTTCTTAGTCTCACAGCATGCGGTGTCTCAGTCAAACATTCTCGTACATTTCTTTGTTACAGAGGAAAATGTGGCTGAGAGAAGCTCTTGCAGAAGTCACCAAAGGGCAGATGGACGAAGTGGAGCAGATGAAGCAGTGCTTGGCTGTCTTACGCAAAGAAGGAGTGAGTGAAAGGGAGAGAGAAGGAGAGGAAGAGAGGGATGAGGAGGATGAAGATGAGCGGGAATCAGCCTTTGAGGTGCTGTCAGAGCTGTGTGAGAACCTGGACAATGCTAGAGGTTTGTAATAAATGAGTGTCATTGTATGAGATGTAAGGATGGATGTAGAGTCATTAGCTAGATGGAGGTTGTGGATAAAACGTCTTGTTGTCTCTCTCCTCACTGTGTCTGCTTTCCTTCTGCATCACAGACCTCATGATTCTTGGCGGACTGGAACTGTGCCTCTCCCAGTATCTGTGTCATGTCCAAAGTGGGCTGAGGTGGCGTGCTGCCGAGCTCATTGCTTCTTGTGCCCAGAACATGCCGCAGGTGCAGGTCCACTTGCTTAGCATCGGGGCGCTGCCAAAACTGCTGCAGCTGACAGACTCAGACCCCCACCCCACCGTCAGAGTAAAAGCCCTTTACGCTGTGTCGTGTGAGTATCTAAGACAGTGCTACAAAAGTTCATTACGGCAGTTGTTTAATGCCCAATGCTGTCTACTTGAATCCAGCTAGTACTGATGTAGAATAGCAGTTTAATGAGAAACATAATTGGTTTTAAGACAGCATTGAAAGAGTTTGTAATGCTGTTTGCATTCAAGCTGTTTACCTCAGAACAAAACTGTAACTGTGTCCTGTCCTGACTTTAGGTCTGGTTCGAGAGCTGGAGGCAGGACTTCAGGCATTCTTGTCCCACGATGGTTTCTCGGTGCTGATGCGAGGCATGCAGTCGGAGAGCGAGAAGCTCAGAACCAAGTCGGCATTCCTTCTTCTCAGCCTGCTCACGTCACATCCCGAACAGAAAGGTATGAATGAGTAGGCATTTAAACAGGACAGTGGATTTTTATTTTTTTGTTTGAGGTTTAGTCGCTCTTCAATGCTGGAAGACGAGTCTCTGGAATATCATAGTGTCTTTAAATTAATTAACAAAGTAAGATTTATTGGAGTTTTCATCTTTCAGATGCTAGTTAGGTTATTTATTTATTTGTTGTTGTTAATTGTCATTCTATTATCATATCTATGTTATTCATGATTTTATGTTTGCATATCTTTTTGGTCCTGAAAGAGATTTTTAATTTCATTAAGGCTTTACTGGTTAAATAAAGGCAAAAAAAATCCAAACTGTTAATGGATGAACCACACTAAGTTGAGCCACAACAGATCTATGCGTTTGGGTGTTAAATTAGGGCATCCTGGTACCGTCCTTCCCTGTATGCCCACTTTCAGCTCTGATCACCAGATGCTAAACAGACACTGTAACGAAACTAAGAATGATTAGTATAATAAAAATTACACCTGTTGTTGTTGTTGTTGTTGTTGTTGTTGGTCTACTCTCATATAAACAAGTCTGAGTAGTCCTTTTATTGTGGTTTAAGAGACTTGGTGAGCCTGATCATCTTGGAGTGGTTGATGTTCATCCTCTGAGTCAACTTTGGCTCTCTTAAGCATGTTAGCACGGACAGTTAGCCTCTTCCCTGAACTGATTCTTGGCCTTTTCAGTAATTTTGGGTCCGATATCTATCCGTTTCCTCCTTCCTACAGACACAGTTGTTTCCATGGGTATGGTACAGCAGCTGGTATCTGTTCTCCGCACACCGCACTCACCTTTCCATGAACATGTGCTCGGTGCCCTTTGCTGGTAAGAAACCCTGTCTACCTCACGTCTTCATCACTCACAAGCTGACAATAATTCATGGTTCACATTAGTAATTATACCTTTCTGGTCTGTCTAGTTTGGTGGAGGACTGTCCACAGGGTCTCAAAGACTGCAGGAATCCTGCTCTGGGTCTGGAGGAGTTTCTCAGACAGCGTTCAAGAGAACTCCAAGGAAAAGAAGAAAGTCAGGTAATTGCTATGTCTTTGAGCCTGATGGTAAAACTGGGTTCAAGTTTTTTTTAATTCTAGGCTATTTAAGTTAAACAAATCCATAGTCTGGGATTAGCCTTAATCATAACAAAGCTTTTAACGTCACTTTTCTGTTTTCAACAGGAGGAACTGGACTTCTGTGAGCGTTTGAGGGTTGCGTGTTTCCGTGGGCAGCAGTCAGATGACAATGGGATGGATCGCTGAAGTAGATAGATAGATACTTTATTTATCCCAAAGGGAAGTCTAACTTGTTTTGGTATCATTGTGCAAAGTTGTAACAGACATTCATGATCTGGTTCATGGATGCTAAGCAGTGTTTTATCTGTTGCGACAGATGCTGTCCATATTTTGCATGTAATCCAGGAACTGGATTTTACTGTGTAAATAACTCTAATGTATAAAGTACTTTTTGAAGTCAGCTGTTCTTTTAGTCCAGTGTTTTTAGTTCTTTATATCTTAAATGTAATACCAAACATCTCTATCAAAGGTAGTATGTGAAGTATTTTCTTTTTCATTTGTTAATATTTACCTCCCAATGTTAATTTAATTACATATACAATTATTTTTTGTTAAGTTTGTCTGAAGTCTCTTGAGTTATTTTAGAGTTATTTTAGTCAGTTGTCTAATATAAAGTAACTCAGAATTATGGACATCATTGTTTATTTTTTTACACCATATTTATTATTAACAAATAAAATTGGAGAATTTATATACATATATTGGCTAGTTTACAAATGGAAAACATTGACACCAAATGCAGCACCTACACGTAAACATGGATGTCACTGATCAAAATATTTTGGCACAAATCACAGAATACAGATGTTATTCTAAACTGATATTTATTGAGTTTCTTTCCATCTTGTTTGTAGACTGCGGTGTATATAATCTATCAAATGAAAACCCATTGTAAGAGTTGCAAGCTGCTCTTTTACTCCATCTTTTGAACTCAGTCAGTAGCTGTCAAGTGCTAATCAGCAGGATAACTCATCTTCTTCTGTTCATGTTTTCCTGTATTTGATGGGTTCCTATTTAAAAACTCCAAGGCCTAGAAAAAGTACGTATAGGCAGTTGTAGTATTTACCAGGGTTAGGGAGATACTTAAGACTTTAGGGATGCCACAAGGATGCTGTTTAGGACCTCTTCCATTTTGCAAAGTCATCCTTGTTCTCCCATGCCTTTACATCTCCCACAGCTATTAGTAGCTGTGCCAAATAATATGTCACCATGACAATAATTTGACCGTGCCTAATTGGTGCTATCACCTTGAAAACCTGCAAAGCTAGTGACATGTCAGACACCATGAAGGACAAACTACCTAACAGTGTTGCTGTGTGGCGGGTCCTGATGGCTAATGCCCCCATTAGAGTAATTAAGACAACATATATCCCCACAGCTGGAATTAGCATATCTGAGTTTGGCACCTTCTGCAGGAATGGATAAATGTAGATGTAAAAACCGACTCCCACCATTAACAGGATCAGATATAGGAAACGATTCCAGGAGGAAGAGGAATATGGTGCATAACGACTGGAGAGGAAGGTGATTGAGTACAGCAGATGAGCCGCAGCAAATGCACCCATTCCTGAAACAGATGAGTGAGATGTTAAGGACATACAAGAAGTAAAATAAATATAGTATTTCCACACTGCAAAACTTGGGGATTCCACTGATCATTTTAAATGTCATTGTGATTACATTTATCAACTATATATGAGATGCACAGAAGTATTAGGCCTATAGCACTGATTTCACTGTGAGAATAGCCAATGTCCAACCTGCAGCTTAATTTGCATCTTAAAATGCCCCAATTTGTCCTTCACTCATGTACAAACAAGGCTCTTACCATGCAGAAAAAGCTCAGGCCATACCAGGCAGCAGTCACCAACAGCAGAGAAGACCAGTCCTCCCACCACACCCAGGACACTCTGACCTCCGTTCCATCTCAGCACTGCTGCAGCCAATAGGAGCGTTGGTGCTGATTTGACCCCTGCAGACGTGATGGACGCCGGCAAGTCAGGAGTCCACAAGTAGAAGTACAGAGCTGCGGATAAAAAGAAAGGCAAGAGAGAAAAAAGGAGAGCACAGGACTGATAGAGAGGGATGAACAGAAAGAAAGGGAGAGACACGATATTACATACATTTTGAAGAGTAGGCTGAAATTATGATTTTTGAAGATTTTATCCACATGAAGAAAGTTGTAGTAAGTAACATAAACAACTATTGACCAATGACTGTATATCAGTCAGAGTAAATGGTTTGTAGGTACCATATTTCTTTTCTGCCGCCTGTCATAGGCATCTGTCTCAAGGATGTCCATTGTCTCAGAGTGTCCTATTAATCTCCTTCTATCTTCTTCTGTCTTTGCAGTTCTGCTTTTACTGTCGGCCTGGTTACCAACACGTATTCCTCAGATGTTCTTAGCTTGTTCTCTCGTCTCCCTTGCCTCGAATCTCTGCCGTGTCTCTCAGTCCATTCACGTTTCACTAAAGTGAACTTTGGACCGATTCTTGCTGTCTGATTGCACTCTGATAATCAATGTTCTCCCTGTTTTGAGTTCTCATAGAGCAACAACTGACCTTTCACCTCTTCAGCTTGAATATATTGGTGACATCAACACATGAGGGGCAAAGTTGAAGCAGTAGTAAACTCATATATGACAAAGGTTGGTCTTATGATTGTTGCTAATAACAAATTAATTATAGCACATTTGAGTCCTATTCCTAAACATTGTAAGTGATTGTGTGTAATTTAGTGAGTGTAAATTAACCTAAAATCTCTGCAACAACTATGACAAGAGAAATTGTTCTGATGGAGTCACTATTGTATGTCAAGGCCGGAAACATCAACCAAGTAACACTATCCAATTTTTAAAGCAGAAATTGCTGCTGCTGTACAGAACCAATGAATGTGTAAGGTGTGATATGTGACACCTTTTGAGGGCTGAAGAATAATCCTAATAAAGAAAAAATGGATTTTGATTTCACTAGATGGCCACTGATTCAGATTTCTCTCAAAGGGTGAGGACTACAACACAAAACAACTGTGCAACAAGAGACCTAAGCTATATATGATTGTAAAGTAAGAATTGATATATGTCTGCAAAATGTAGTTCTTTGTTTCACATTAGAAGACATTCTGAACTGAAATGAAATGGAAATTGTTTAAATAGATGGAGGAGGAGCCCAGCGTGTGATAATTCCACACATCTATGAACTAGCAATGATTAACTATGGCCTCTCTGAGTCAAACTTTGTACTGTGCTTACCCACAATTTCTGGAGTCGTGGGCCGGCTGTTCTGCTTCAAGCTGTGAGACACGCAGCTCCAGAGGGGAGTGAGATTATTTGGTGAGTGGAGCAATAAATGGCAAGTGCTGCACTGATTAAGAGGAGATTGAGGGAGATCAGATAAGAAGTAAGGTCAGAAGCAGACATCATGCGTGTGTGTGTGTGTGTGTGTGTGTGTGTGTGTGTGTGTGTGTGTGTGTGTGTGTGTGTGTGTGTGTGTGTTTTGGTTTGTGCTATCAAGTGAATGTTCGCTTTTCTCCACATGTTTGCTCTCTCAGCACAGGACATGGCAACCAGCTCTTCCTCCCAAAGGATTGGAGTTGTGGGATATGGACATCTAGGTCTGAACTCCCACTTTCTGACACACATCCGTATGAATCCTTTGCTAAATCGTTTTGTCACCATAAGTATCCTAGTGTACATTTCTTACTCTGTGTGTGTGTTGGGGTGTGTGTGTGTGTGTGTGCTTCAGGGCAGTACCTAGTGGAGAGGATCCTTAAAGATGGAGCTGCTCTCGGTCTAACTCTGGCTTTTGTTTGGAACAGGAATTCTGACAAGCTCAAAGGTTTAGTTCCTGATGAGCTTATACTTGGTGATCTGTCATCCTTTGCAAACAGGTGCTAACACACACATAAGTAACATAAACCCATACGCAAATCACGGTATTAGCATCTCATATTATCTCTGTGCTGCCATAGACAACATGCACCCAATGTTACATCTTTTTTTTCAGTGAATAATCAGTGTGTGTTTCACAGGCCATGTGATGTGATCGTAGAGGTCTGCCATCCGCAGATAGTGAAAGAATTTGGGCTTCACTTCTTGTCTCAGTCTCATTTCATGGTGAGATTTATTTATTTTTTACTGACACTGCTTTGATTTCGTAGCTATTTTTTTCATTATATGTAGATATACAGTATATAATCCCCATCCCCATCTGAGTGTGTAACAGAGAAATGCTGTTTAATCTGCATCATTTCAAGGTTAGCCTTGATAAAGTGTTTGCTTCTTATGTTCCTGCTTCTCAGCTGTAATCAGAATACATCAGATTAGAGTAAAACAGGCAACAAGGTACGTTCGTGTTTATAAGTAAGACTTTTATTTCCAATTGGCTGGACACTGGTCTATTCTAAAGAGGACATGTGTAGTTATTACAGTCTTTCTGGTTTTCTATATTTTAGGGATTGTCAATATGTTTGCCAGCTGTCTGATATGGTATGAATTTATACGTGGTAGTATTGTTTTGTTTCCTAAAATAAAGCAGGTTCTGTATATATTTATCACAGAAAAGTTATGGCATTCTCTTTTGTGCCGTCTCCTCCTTTCAGGTGGGCTCTCCCTCTGCCCTTTCTGATCCTGATCTGAACCAGAAGCTGCGTCAGGCCGCTCAGCAGTATGGTAGGACGCTCTACGTCCCCAGTGGTGCATTGTGGGGAGGCCAGGACATCCAGAGGCTGAATGATAGTGGGGCCTTGAAGGTAAAACTGGGGTAGTGCAGGTGTGGTGTTAGAGTGATATAGGCATGTTTGGACATTGAGAATGAAAGTGCAGCTGCAGCTCCTGTAGCTGTAGTTTTCAACTAGTCCAGTTGGGTTAGCTGCAACCATCCCCAACAAAGGAATCCACTGACTGATGCCAAATTAGCAATTAGATCAACCTAGAAGACCACTTTTGTCTGTGTTTGTATTTTTCATTCTCAGCACTTAAAGAATTTGAAGTTTGGCTAGGTAGAGGAAAATGACTTGAACACACTACAATTCTGGGAACATCAATATATGTTATGTAAACATTACATGTCAGTATAGAAGACCACAAGTGTTAAATAAATGGTTATAAAGCTTTCCATGAATTGATATCTATGGAAATCTATGGAATGAATTATAGTCAAAAATTAGAAATGGGTTACGGTGACAGCAACAAAAAACAACAAATAAATGCACTATTTAAATAAAGATTAATCAATACCTAAATAAATAATGCAATTTCAGGATCAATTTGAGAATGAAGAGAAATAAATAACTCAAGGTTGAATTAAGAGAACTGGTTTTAATCAGGAAATTGGAAGGGTTATTCCTTTTTAGATTTGCTTAACTTTTTCCTGCTGATTTTCCTTTTGCTTTTTCATTTTCCATTTACTTATGTGACACTTTGGTCTGTGCGTTTTGAGGATAATTCTACAAGATAAAAAAAAATAGGTAAAATTTAAAGAGAAAATGGCAAATTAACTATTATTTTATTTTAGTACTCAGAATATGAGTGTTGTCTGGTAAACCTTATTGTGTTCTTAATAAACTTTCTTCTCTTGACTTGTTTTCAGGCTTTGTTTATAAGAATGTCCAAGCATCCCTCCTGCTTCCGGCTGACAGGAGACGTCCTCTCTGATTGGACGGAGGAAGAGGGCAGACGTGTTTTATTCAGAGGCTCAGTGGCAGAGCTGTGCCCACTTGCTCCGAACAACGTTAACACCATGGCAGCAGCGGCAGTGGCAGCAGGATCACTCGGCTTTACTGGTGTCCAGGGAGAGATTGTGTCTGACACAGCGTGAGTCTTTCTGAACATCTGATTGATCTGATGCAGGCTCTCACATCTGCTTGAATCACACTTTTTGTACCTCTCTCTGCCCCAGGTTAAGTGACTATCATGTGGTGGAGGTGGAGGTGACCGGGCCCGGTGGTTTCTCAGTACACACAGTGAGGAGGAATCCAGCCAGACTTGGAGCCGTAACCGGCAGCGCAACATACAACTCCTTCTGGAACAGTCTACTTGGTGAGTCCTGCATGGTCTCCAAACACTTCTTAGAAAATCTAAAAATCTAAAAGTCAGAATACAAAGTCATGTATTCAAATTTCTACTTAAGTACAGAAATATTATCAGCAAAGTTTACAAAAACTTAGAGTATAAAAAGCAAAAGTTCTCTGGACCTTTGACTGATATATTATATATTATATTATGTAGTATTTCACTTGTGTACCTGGGTGAAGTGGGAGTAGTTTTACTCTGTAACTCCAGTCAACAGTTCAGACTAAAGTCCCAGTCTGTCAGGGGCTACCCCCCTCAACCTTCACACAACATTCAGCTCACATCCACCCTGCATGTCCACTGCATTTCCTGTCCTGTCCACTCTGTCCTGGGATCTCCCACTCAACCCAGTGCAGGTGGCAAGAGAACAGAGCATGATGGCTTAACTATCACCCCTGATGGAGAACTTGTCCCATCCCAAGCAGGTTGCTCTAACACTGGGCAGCTCCTTCACTGACAGGCTGCTTCACTGGCGGTGTGTGAAGCAGAGATACTGCAGGTCCTTCCTTCCTGCTACTGTCAGACCTCACAATCAACACTGTTCACAGCAGACACAGCAATACTGACAAATTCACTTGTGTGCAATATAAATGCATACTAAACTATACAATATAAATATTTCCTACGTGCAATAGTGCCAATTCAACCATTGAGTTTGCTGCTATAGAAAAAATTTACCAGCTGTGTAAATAATGAAGTATCATCTTATCTTATTTCTTAATTTTAATTTTTCTTTTAATTCTTCGTTATTTTAACTACAGCTGTCAGATAAATGGAGAGTAATAAAACGTTTTTAAAAATGCCCCAAGTATTTCCCTCTGAAATGCAAAGTAGAAGCATAAAGTTGCATAAAATGTAAATACTCAATTAAATTACAAATACCTCAAAACTGTACTTAAGTACTGTACTTGAGTAAAAAAAACACTTTTTACTGGAGAGTCTGTTGCTCATAAAACTGTTTAGGTCAGAATTAGAAAAAAGATCTTGATATGTGTGCAAATAACTATTGAATTATTGTCAATTCTGTTTTACTGTTCATATTTTCTTTTTTCTTACAGTTTGCAAAGGTCACGGGGGCCGAGTTTATCTGTGCTGAACTCTGTAGGATTAACTACACAGCAAGAAGATCCACTTCCAGAAAATTCAGATGGTTTATAGTGGATAAGTTGTGTGGATCAGTATGTTACTGAGAACTTGAAAGAATATTTGTGTCCCAATAAACTGCATACATACAAATAAAGAAGAGCCAGTTATCATTTGTAAAACACTAATATATAAGGTATATATATTTAAACTTTATTATAAGTTCATCTGGTGCAAGATTGTAACAAATGATAAAACTCTTTACAGGGAGTGTGAGTGCACGCCTGGGAAAACCATTTTCCTTCTTCATTAACAGACAAACAATCAAGACGTACTCGAGTTCCTTTCCCAGCCCTTTCTCTCATGTCCTTCACCTGACAACATGGTCGCCATCCGAGGACACAGTCCCTTTTTTCCTCCACCTGTCTCATCTCTATTCCTTTCACAAATAAATACTTGCCCAAACAGCGAAACCCAGGAATAACCATCTCCACACAAGCACACACAGACAGATAAAAAGGAGTGTGAGGTTATTTATGGGTGATCGTCACTGAAAGGCGGTGACACAATAAGGCGCAGAAAGAAAATGAAAACACACATGCAACAAAACACTATTCTCCAAGTGAGAGGACTTACAGCTTTTTGATTGCTGATGCTGTTTGTCGTTGTGTATGTGTGTCTTTCTACATGTAATTTCCCCTCCTGGGATGGTTTGTAGTAAACAAGGCATTTGAAAGAAAGAAGAAAATGCTACAATGCAGACAGTTGTGTTTTAAACACTGAACCATCATCACACTTTTAAGCCAAACACAAGTAAAAAGAACAGGTGCTCTTTGTGGGTCCTCACAGCAACTGACACTCTTTACATGGGCCTTTGTTTTTTACCAGGAAAATAATGGATCCTGCTTAAAATGTGTTAAGATGACAAGCTGGTAAAAAAGGAGTGTTATATTGGTTTCCCTGCTCTGACCCACCTTTAAATCAAATATAAAAACTACTCCAGAGACTCGTAATAATCCTCTGTTATTGTTTTCAATGCTTTAGACCTAAAGTATGTTATCCAGTGTTAGTACACTACAAAATCCAGCGATCCTGATTTGTATTCCATGTTGAGCTGTCGTTTAGCCCTTTCTAGCTGCTGCGTTTACTCCACAAAGCAAACCACTGGTTGCACTGCTGGTGTAACTGAAACAATAACCAAACATATCAAACAGACTTATATTCTTAAAAATTCTGAGGTACGCACAAGTTGGGAAGACACTGACAGTGGTGCAAGTTTTCACAACAAGCCGATATTAAATGTATCACTCGCATTCACACAACTGCACTCATTTCTAAAGTGTTTGAGTACATGGATGACATTAACGATTGCCACGGAGTAAGGTTTCACTAGTGAGGTTTAGCATGTACTGTATATGTGTGTGTGTGTGTGTGTGTGTGTGTGTGTGTGTGTGTGTGTGTGTGTGTGTGTGAGAGAGTGTCAGTTTTTTTCGCTTGTGACACTATCGCTGTTTCCATTGGCCCCGTAGACAGCAGACTTGTTTTTGAATGGCAGGGCGTAGGGCTGGCGGATGTTCACCCGATCCTTTTCGGCCTCCAGATCCTCGTCGTAGCGTTCTTCTTCATCATTGTCCTCGGCCTCGCTGTGGTGGGGGGAGGAGTGGCGGGACAGAGATGGAGACGGTGGCACAGAGGCTGGTCGCGGGTAACGGAAGCCTGAGGTCTGAAGACAAGAACCAATAGGCATCAAAATTTGTCAGTAGAGATGGAGGTGTAAACATTTCACTTCCATGAATGCAATGAATAATTAACTTACTGAGGTAGGCTCATTGAGTTCATAATAGTAGGTGTCAGGGAAGGCTTTTGCCAGGGCCATGTGACGGGCAGATATATAATACTAGAGTAGAACACAAGAAAAACAACATTAATTCATCTTCAAGTTGTCACATGCACAAAATTAGTCCTTGGGATTTGGAGTCTTACCCTGCCGAGGTATCTCCAGTCCAAGAGGTCGCTGAGACGCTCAGTCCGGTTCCTCTGGATGATGCGCTGGCGCCGGCTCTGCTTGCAGAACTGAAACAGGAAGGAGGTGAGCTGGTTACACGACTCGTCGACCCCCCGAAACCGCCGGTCCAGGATGTAAATACCTGCAAAAACAAACAGTACGGTGTGAAAGAGAGCAACAGTTATTCCTATGTATCTTTTTAAAGACTTTGAGTATTATTAACAACAGTTTAATAAGTATGAGAACCTCACCATATGCTGAGGGGTCTGCTATGTGTTCCTCCATAAAACAGCCAAATCCTGACAGGTTGGTTGAGATTGATGGAATTCCCATGACTGTGCACTCAGCTGATGGTGACAGAAACAGTAAGGCCTGATTTCAATTTCAATATCATACATACATACCTACACATAAATACATCGTCAGTGTGTGTGAGTCATACCTGGTGTGTAGCCCCAAGGCTCATAGTAAGAGGGGAAGACGCCGAGGTGGCAGCCTCTTACAAACTCTTCATAATCCATTGGAAGTAGAGGAGAGGTGGACGAAAGGAACTCTGGATGAAAGATTATCTAAAGAAGGGAAAAGCCATTCAGCATCAGAGTATTTACTATTTATCTTGGCCACAACATGCACTCTAAAATGTCACAGTGAAGAATGATAAGGAAGCAGGAACTCAAATCATGTGCTCTCCTGAACGGGTAGTGACACAGTTTCTGCTCACTTACAAATTGAATCTACTGTCTAATGTTTAGGATGCCATGGCTGAACAAATATACATAGAAAAGGTGAGAAGAACGTTTTATGGGTGCCAGGGTGATAATTTTTTGTGGCTTATGCCACTTATGGACTACTGACAACAGACATACCTTGACACGGTCCGCCGAGCTGTTGAAAAGGCCGATACGGCGGACACAGTTAAGGATGGGGTCGCTACTGTCCTCCAGCATGTTATGGGTGCAGATTGGAGGCTGGCATTGTCTCTGAGTCGCAAAGATGGCACGCTTCATTATGGTGAAATCCTCTTTGTCCAGCATCTTCGACACATCTGGCAGCTGCCCACTGATAAAAACACATTGTTTTAGACTGAAAGGAAACTTGGGGAATGATAGGCTTGATCAGCTGGGACCGTATTTATAATATGTGCATTTGTGTCATTTCCAAAAACAACTACTATAGGATATATATTAGCATGAATAAACTCAACCAGCTTTGTTATATATCCAGGTCTGAAGGGAAATCTTTGGATTTTGGTTATTAACAGACTTTCTGACAGGTAATTTTCACATCTTACAGGTTTCATGTAGACTGAAAGTGGTCAACTTACACCAGAAGGGACTCATAAAGTTTCTTTCCGAAGCGTTCCTTCACAGTCTGAGCAGTATCCCTGTCAGGGTTGAAAATACACTGAATACAAGAACAATAAGACAAAAACAAATAATTTTCCAAGATGAAATCAAGGTGTCTGATGGATGAGTGCACAACTTTGGCTGTCTGGCTCACAACGTACAAATTCAGTTAGAAGCTTCATCTCGATGCTTCACCTTGTTTAACATAAGAAGAAACCTCACCAGAGCTGTTTCCTGACAGCTTGGCCCTTCAAGGTCTCCACATTGAAGTTGTTTGTCCTGGCAGGCATGATGAAGAATGCAATGACGGTTACGTCACTGTGATTGACCTGCAACAGGAAGACCATACAGGAATACAGAGTTACATTTTTACAACTAGGACTCACCTTCCAGACACAAAAAAAAAAACACACACACACACACACACACACACACACACACACACACACACACACACACACACACTGTTGACACAACCACCGTAACACACTTACTCTCAGTAGATAGTTGAGTCTGGCTAAAGCTTCCAAGAAGATGTCGGCTCCCTTGTTGGAGAACTCATACCTTCCAGCGATGAAGAGGAACAAACACTTGTCCAGATTGAAGTCAAGGTGCCTGATGGACAAACCAAACACAAACAAAAGCCTGTCACAAGAGCTGGATGAGTGTAGCACTTACAATGTAAACAATCACTACAATAGCATAAGAAGTACTATATCCTTCTGAATTGGATTTGTTTCTTTCTTAGACAATGAATGTGATCAAAAGCATGCAACGAGCAATAAAACTTATTTTGTTTATTTCAGTTCTTAAGTTGACTCTGCTGTGAATGTTGTGATGTGTCTCTGTCTGACCCGTAGAAGTGTCCCCTGACGAACTCCTGAATGCGGTTCTTGCTCTGAGCGTGGAGGTTTTGAAACTCGTGCACGGCTGAGAACTTCTTCACATTGAGTCCGTTGGGAGTGACGATGTCTGTGTGTGATGGCAAAGAATAAATGCAAAACAGGAGTAAGATATTTGTTCAAATTTAGTTAAGGATCTAATTAGCTGGGTAGCTAACATTGTAACTAGTAAAACTTGCTTGCTGGCCCGTCTAGTGAAGAGTGACAACAGAGTGAACCATCAAGGCAGTTTCTGAATTTCACACATCAGTTCACCTCCACACACCTGGTTTCCTCTTGAGCAGGTGCTCTGCCTCAATGGCTGTAATCTGTGACACAGTGGTGAAGACATGGGCACAGTGAGCTGCCGCCCGCTCCAAACAGTAGCGGTGATAGATCTGTCTGTCGCCTGCTTCCTTATCCACGTTGAACTGAATGAGACCCAAACACCAGAGAGAGAGAGAGAGAGAGAGAGAGAGAGAGAGAGAATACAATGAAGTAAACAGATTGTTGAATACCTAATACATTGTATTTTTAATAATAATCTGTCTTATATTGTATTTTCAATTTATCTTCAGGAGAATCAAAGTCAACTTGGCTGTTAAATGGTCGCTTTCTATTACTTTGTGTTTGTTTTATTACATTCCTGTAATAAAGTGTCCACACGCACACACATACGTTTGCAAGCTTGTTATAGAAGTCCACATTTCCAGCACACAGGTATCGTCCCAGCAGTGTGGCGTGAGTGGTGAAGATGGTTGCAACGGGCAGCTGCCTGTGTCTACACAACACCAGGCCCAGACCAGCCAACCACTCATGGAAATGGGCCACAATGTGTGGAGGCTCCTCAGACTGGGCTGCGTACTGCAGTATGGGAGAAAACAGGGTCACAATAGACTACACACATGCACTAGGTTTTGATATTTCAAGCCTTTAGATTATTAAGATATCTATTATTTTTATATTCTATTATTAAGAACTTTTCAGACTTTCCAAGGAACTACAGGCAATCTGTCTTCTTCTACACTTGAACACGCAGTATTCAACATCTCCTTTTGACACAACGCAGCTAAAACATTTTACAGTTGGCAGTTCTCTCAGTGTGAGCTGCTGACCTCTCCCAGCAGCCAGGCCGTCAGGAAGCCAAACAGCACGGCATCGTTGGCCTCGCGGTCGAACCACGGCACTCCGATGTCACAGAGCTCCCACAGCTCGCTCTTCCAGGTGTCCAGAGACCAGGCGGTGAACCCGACATCAATCAGAACAACATAGGGACTGCCCTCTATAAGCCACCGCCCAAAGTAGACCTGGGGGAAAAACATTTTTATTTATTCTTTATGCCAAACACAACCCATGGATAAGGGCAATTTAATACCTCTTTATAATTATTACTTTAATGGACCAGTGTGTAAGAATTAGTGGCATCTAGCTGCGTAGTTGCAGATTCCAACTCCCTCGATTCACCCTCCCCTTGTGTGGCCGCGAAACGCACATACAAAAGCATGGTAATTCAACATGGCGGCCTCCATGAAAGGCGACCCACTGCAACTGTAGATAGAAATGGCTCAATCTAAGGTAACAAAAACAATTCTTACTTTTAGGTGATAATACAATAATGAAAAAATTGTTGTGCATATTAATTCCATTTCTGCCCATAGACCCTCCTAAATGTTACACACTGGACTTTAGTGAGAAATGATTTGTGGTTAATTACTAAGTGAATCATTATTTTACAACAAAAATAGTTTTTTTTTCCACATGCATTAATCAGCTATTTACTTTTATCTTGTTTGAATATGTAGATAAACGGTCCTTCTGTGATCTAAAAAGGTTATTTTTTTTAGGTCCCACTAACCAATCATACTCCAACCTCATAATCCAAGATTAACCTTGATGAAATTTGGCTTGCTGACACAGAATCACAATCAGAGTATGTCACTTCAGTCTTAAAGTACAACTAGAATGCGGAACTTAGTTTAATGTACTAATATGGGCCTAAATATCTAAGACAGCCTCACTTACTCACTAACTAACTGTTGCTGCTCTCTATCGTGAGCTTAAAGGTCATGTCATTCAAGGTACAACAGATAGGCTCTGTTGAAAGAGCAGCACTATTCCTTTAAAATAGTACCACTACCACTCCCAGCCTTGACCCATAACTCCACAGCACACACACAGAGTGACACAGCACAAAGCATCAAAAGTATCACACACACACACACACACACACACACACACACACACACACACACACACACACACACACACACACACACACATGACAAGTCATCTATTTCTGGAGTGTGTCTTTCAGAGAGAGACACAGAGAGACACTGATACAACCTCTAACCTTTACGAGGAAATGTCACTGGGTTTAGAGACGTGGTCACGGACAGAAGGCTGAGCAGAGATCAAGTGGGTCAGAAATGAAAGAGGGGCTAAAGATGATCTGTATCTGGGTTTCACTCTATAATAACCCCCCCCCCACACACACACACACACACACACACACACACTCACTACGTGTAGTAAGTCCTTGAGTGGAACACACAAGTTTAACTCAGAGGTGTATGTGTTTACTGTGTTCATGCGGTAGTACCTTACACCCACTGGAGTTCATCTTGTCAATGGTTCTCTTCAGTGCAGGGTTGGTGGGCTCGATCAGCTCCACCTGAGTGCGCACGTTGCTCTCCACGTAGGGACCCACCAGGAAATAGTTCTCGCCCCATTCCTCTGAGGTCAGACGGGCTTTGGTCTGGATGACGGTGTAGATGCCTCCAACTTCATGCATGCAGCAAACATGCCACACGTGCGCACACAAAGTCGAGACAAAGGTGTAATGTGATTCAACCTGATATATATATATATATTGATATTAGGCATTATGATGGTATATCTCTTACAACTAGAATTCCCTGCAGAGAATAACCTGCGTAAATATACAAGATTAGACACGAAAATACAAAAAGATAGAGACACTTGCCTTTGTTAGCAACCTCCCATGCAATTTCAAAAAGAACAGCGTCCTCCAAATCAAACTCCTCATCCCACTCCTCCAGTCCTGAGAGGGACGTGACAGACAGGCTGCGAGCCAGCGGCATGCTGGGTAAACACAGAACACAGTCAGCTGAGATGGGAGCACCTTACAACTGTGTAGACACAGTACCTGATTGTCTCTCGTTGTGTGAGCAATTCACACTTCAGAAACAAGGCTTTTACACTGAAACCTGTTCTTTGCTTTTATTTCTCTACGAATTAATTAAAAACATCACGGGATACAAAAACATTTGTTACACTTTTTTTTAAATCATTACTGTAATTTCCTGTGATGACAGAAACAGAAGATTTTTTTTCATCTAATTTATTGATGTAAGCTTCTCTGGATATGGTATTAAATCAACTTTATTGTCACGAATACAATCACACACAATACAACTTACAACCTAACAAACATGTTTTGACCAGAGGAACACACCCACAGACACGAGGAGAACATGCAACAGAAAGGCTCCGGCCCAGATTCGAACCGTCTTGCTGTGAGGCGACAGTGCTAACCACTGAGCCACCGTGCCGCCAGGTAAACCATCAGGTAAACGTCAAAATTATTACACATTTTTTTAAACAATGTAAACTTTCTCTTGACCAACATTTCCACACACAACTGCAACCAGCACAGTATGTCATCAATGAACCACACCCCCATTTCATAACACTATTACTGTAATACTACTGTAACCTAAACACAATCTCTAAGTTCTTCTACAATCCTCATTCTCTCTCGTGATCACAATTGTTGTTGAACATTAAGTTAATAAACTAAACCTTTGGCTGTTCTTCCTGGTCATACACACACAACACTGAAGTGGTACACTGAGTAATAGGAATCTAACATATGTGTGTATGTCTACAGTATTGGTTCTGCATATAATCTGAGACAGTCAAAGGACGTCTTCTAACACTACTACTTCTAATCATAGTTATCTCATTATAAGTGGAGACATTTAAAAAGCATACTTAAAGTAGACGTTCACTCGTGCTGGCTCGCTGTAAGATGCACTGAAAGTTCCTGCTTGCACAAATGTTGCAACCTCCTGAACAAATGGGGGAGTGGCGTGAGAGAGGATGCAGAGGTGGTAGAGATAAGGGCACGGATCAGGTATAAACTTGAAAATGTTGTAATCGCTTTGTGTGAAGTTGAGACATGTAAAAAAAACACACATGAAAAAAACTAACCAGTGCATAAACACTCGGTTACAGTTCGACAGAGAGGAAATCCTCTTCCACAATAATCCTGGCCACATCTTTTATGTTTTTTTACACTCACCAGAAATTCAATGTGCCGATAAACTCATCTCATATTCCACAGGGACACAGCAGCTACTGACAGCCGTTGACAAAAAGGGGTACACCAGATAATGAACTGAGTTTAGTGACAGTCCATCACTGTTCAAGCCTGATAAAGGCTCAGATAAGCCAAAGCACCAACCTGATTGAGGCGTGCTGTAAACATCTCCTCAGATAATTCTTCATTTGCATGTAGGCTACCTCAGATATTCACACCAGGCAGCTTTAAATAGAAGTTCAACGTCCCCTACAGACATGTTTAAAAACGTCAAAATACTCATAATGCTTTCTTCTATCTGATGTGGTGTTTTAACATAAAATAAGTTGAACTACCTCCTTAAAAAACTTCTTCTAGAATCTATGAATATGCAAATGTTGCTCATTTCAAAGGTTTAACCGCTGGAAACATGAAATATGTCTCCTTATTTAACTGAAAACTCTGTTCTCCTCCACTCGAGGCTTCAAGTTTCCACATAACACTTGTGGAAGTTGCATATTCATTTAAACTAGTTGTGATGTCACAACCTCATGCTCATATGTACACATCTTAAAGATAAACTCCTCCTCCTTCTGCAGGTGGAAGATGGTCTTCTAGTGTCAAACTCTAAACTTAATTCACTCTGCACAGTGAAGCTTATACATCCAAGAGAATCAACGATAAGCAACAAACAAACCGGCATCCGTACACAGACTCAGAGTAAATACCTGAGTGCTGAAACTGAACTGATGCTCATTTCTTCGGGACCCCCTGGGATTCCCTGGGGCTGTCAGTGGTACACTCACCTTTCTAGTACATCGCTTTATGGGTGCTTTATAATGTATTACTGACCCTCTATCAATCACCATCATTCCCTTGTCCAAGTCATACCATTTAACGAATATTTTGATTTGTTTTGTCCAGCGGGCCTACAGGTTTAACAAGAAGACCCCCCCACCCACCACCATGCCTGTCCCAAATCCATGGAGGACGCCCCTCTCAGACAGCTGCTGCTCGTCCAAAGACTGCAGACAACAGCACCATAAGGGCAGACCTCCCGGCTGAATGCATGCGTGGGTTTTCTCATGAGTTTAACAGCGAACGTGACATGAAGCAGCTACTGCAACGCAACGCAGCTGCGGGAGCGCGCAAAGGACACAGCGTCCTGACGCGCGCTCCCGCACCCGTTAAGGAAGTATTGAACTATTGTCATTATGGGAAATAAAACACTGACGTCTACTCACCCTTCGCTCTTTGTCCGAACTTTACCAAGATGAACTACACATTGGCAGCTGTGGCTCCAAAAAAAGGAAACCAGCGGAGAGTGAGGGAAAGGGGGCGGCGGCTTGAGTTAAATGTCAGCTATTCACATTGGTTTGGTGGGTCCGCTGTCACGTAGAGGGGCAGGATGCCCATACACTGCGATTCAGGAAGACATTATTCATGAGGTTCACTCTTATTGGACTCAGTCTTCTCTTTGTGTCCGCCTCTATACACAACGTGACGGGAACTGGGCGTTTTCCTCTGCTGAGAGACGCAATTGGCCGAGCAGAGGTTGAAGGGAGCTGCAGTGGTTGGTGAATTATCATTTCATCCATACAAAAGAGGGGAGTCGTGGCCAACCGGGACACTTTTTCTTTTTTCCCCCATGAGGAGAGAGGAGAGCAAAATAGTTATTTATAATGTCATCTAAGGGTCATGGGGAGCATAGTTTGGGGAATACAACGTGACCAGTGACATTAAGACACCCAATCCGTCCACATGTCTGTGATCTATCCTACAGTAACCACACAGCCAGGATCTATAGTGATAAAGCTGCTCAAAATAAGTGAGTGAGTGGCTCTCTGGTCACAGTGTCAGCATATCTCCGGCCGTAAAGGTCTGCACTACTGAAGTATCACTGAGAATCGCACTGTCCTCCTGCAAGCTTCAAATGTGTTGTTCTGTGTTATGGATGACCTCTGACCTCTGACTGTTTACATGTGTCTGCAGGGAGAGATAGAAAACAACAACAACTTTCAGAAATAACTGCAGACATACAGTGTATATGAAAAGGCCTAATGGTCACTGACTGACGCCTAGGAGGGATCGGTATATGTTTGCTCTTGTAAAGCCTTGTGGTCTAAGCTGCAGAGATAGTTGAGTTCACGAGGTCACAGGTTAGGTTCCTCACACACACACCTAACTACAGGAAGACTGGTTCTGGTACTACGCACCTCACTACTGAAATGAACTGAAACAAACTGAAGACTCTCATTCCTCTTGGGTACTTTAAAGTTTTACTTGATGTTTTTAATAGATGGTATTAGTGTGTCAGTATGATAGAATTGTCTTATGGTGATCTTGTAATTTGTCTCAGGCCTCACTTGTAGACTTTCTGGTGTCTTAAGACTTCATAAATAAAAAAGCCAAACTAACCCATTCAATTCAAGTTAAGTGACTCAACTGTGGAATATGGATGGACAACCAGCAATCCCATTATCAGATTTTTAGATTGCAACCCTTTGTAATGGTGTGACTATACAGTCTATACCTTCAGTCCACAAACTGAGTTCATCATTACTCAATGTAAACATTGTATTTTAGAGGGCTGCAGTCATATCTGTGCAAAATAAAACACTATTACCTTCCTCATACTTACTATTTATTATTAAAATCCATAACCTCATATCAGGTTGATATAATTTCACTTTATATTTTTTTAAGATGGATAAAGAAAATGTTTAAGATACACTTCACATCTGAACACATTTACACTACAGGTAGGGGGATATACTTACAGCGCTGTCAACAATAAAACATTTCAATCATAGGGGGAATAATTTGTTAAAGAGTTAAGATGTTTACCTGCTTTTTGTATGTTGTTCGTATAATTTCATCAGTTAAATAAAATGAAAATAGAAAGAAGAGTGAGTTAGTGCACATTGTTATTGCGGTCAGTAGAGACTTCTTTACGTTGAGACGTTCTCCCTCCCTCACAGCTGCGTACAGTGACGTATCTTTGCCGGAAACGCAAGGTTTCTTTCAGCTACTAGGTGTTGTCAAGCTACGCCCAACTTCCGTGTCGCTCAGCGCTGAGTTTCCGCCTTACTTGTGTCGTCACTGTCCACTCCTTTGCTATTGGTCCTAGAAACAAAAAGGAAATTTTCCGCGCCTTCGCCGGTGAAAGTTCACAAATTGAAGACGAGTGGCGGGAGCTGTTGTCAACCGGGGGCTGTCGTGAAGAAGATAGGTATGTATAAGTCCGTTAGAAAGGCACCAGCCGCTGATGGTGGTGTGGCGGGTTTCACGGTGAGAGGAGATCAGTCCTACGGAGACTAACGTCGGCTTTGGCGCGAGACTGTAGTGTGTTTACGCTCGCTCTTGCTAGCTTCCTGCGTTTAGCTCGTGATAAAAGAAAACAGCCTCCCAAGTTTGAACGAAAAATAACTTGACATGAACGTACCCGCTGTTAATAGTGAGCTTAATACATTAAAGTACGACTGTGACTGCCTGTGAAGACAGACACAACGTCAGCTACCAAACTATAATACTTTAGTTGTGAACTGTATAATGTGTTGTATGAAGGCTAATGGGCTATGTAATGTGCAGTATGGGAGACTGCCTCTCCTTTACTTTGACAGTGTGTCGCTCTTTACTTTTGAACTGTGTCCAGACTACTTTTATCTCCTCTGATGCTGTTCTGTCCTTTATCTCGTTATTTCACTTTATCCACGCCATTTAAAAACACCCCGTGCTTGTTGTATTGTATACTGCAACATGTTTTATCCCTGACATCTCTGACATCTCTGAATTTGTTTCACCAATTATTCACAGTAAGCCCGCCACAGCCTCCTCAAGCATATCCACTTCTTGTCAAATAAACTGACTGTGTAAGGGATATTAACGCATACACAGTCAAATCATTGCTTATTTTCTGTCTAACATTTCGTATGTACAGTAATGTCTTTCTTTCAGGCTGTAATAAGCACCACCTGTTGTTCTGAGGGTTATGACTCATACTGAGTACATATTTGATCTGCTATCATACTCATCTTCCCTAATGTGCCCTCTGCCTTTTAATGTTTCTTGCAGACATGGATTATAAAAAACGCAATGGTGGCCCTTTTGTTGGTGGTGCATCCCAGGCCAAACGGGGTAAAACGGCTGGTGAATGGGAGGACAGTCCATCCCAGTTTGAAGAGGAATTATCCATGTTTGATGAAGCCGAGATGGATGCAGAGGAGATGGAGGGACAGGCAGGCCACGATGTCATTCCCGTAGGTGAGTGTTGCACAGAAAAGCGCATAATGGTTGGCATAAGTAAAATGATATTTTTGGGGTCTAAAGCTGTATAGTCACATGGCACCCAACCTATGTATAGTCCATGTAACATACAGATGCACATTTTATTAAACAAGTACAACTACGCACACTGTTTATTTATTTATCCATCAGAACATATTAAATAATAATCATGTTATTTTTACAGCTTGAATTTTCACACTTTGAAGGAAGTAATTCGTATGGCTGGTAGCTCTAACAAATCAGAGTGAAATTGGTCCTCCAGTCATGCCTCAAATAAATAAAGTATGTTTGGCCCTGTTGTTTTACTTCTGTCCCTTTGTTTTGTCAGGTGACCTCTTCTCAGCAGACCTGAACCCTCGTTGGCGACGGCCTCTTGCTCCTTCACTGGACCCATCATCTGACACTCTGGTGTTTCAGCAGATTGATCTCGACTATTATTTAGGTAATTATAAAAGAGTGATTTTATAAGAAACAAGATTACATAAAACTAATTCTGTGATATTTACAGTTGTTAAAGGTTTAAATATGATAGAGTAAATATTATGGAGATAAAAAGATCACAGCTGTCGTAGCGTTATCTTGGCTTCTTTGTTGTATGGATCTAAATAAGAATATAGAACATTTCCATATGCTCAAATAGCGTTGCTGTATGTGAGAAGAACTTGTATCTTAATAATCTTCCACTTGTGTAATGCAGGGCCAACAGTGGCAGGAATGCCGGGCCAGTTACAAGGAAAAGTCCCGATCATTCGAATGTTCGGAGTGACAGACAGTGGCAACAGTGTGTGTTGCCATGTCCATGGTTTTGCGCCTTACTTCTATGTTCCTGCACCAAGTGGTGAGTACTTGTCAATATACTGCCAATACATAGGAAATGTGAATTTGAAGACTTTGTATTTTGATCTTATATGTGTCATTTGTGTAGTAGTAAATTACTATTGAACATTTCTCTCTTGTGAGTCACTTTTCTGTATGATTTCAGCTTTTGGGAGGGAAAAATCTTTGCATTCATTCTTATAAATCCTATATTGTTTTGCTATTCCTGTTTCCTCTGAAAAGGGTTCACGTCTAGTCACCTGGGTGAATTTAAAAAAGAGTTGAACTCCGCTGTCCTGAAGGACATGCGTTCCAATAAGGACAACATCTCCGTCACAGTGTTGGCTGTGGACATCACCCGCAAAGAGAGTGAGTACAAGTGATGTGCAAGTGTGTGTGTGTGTGTGTGTGTGTAGGAATTCACTCACAAGTATCTTTAGATTATTGTGGTCTGGCTGATCCTAGTTACAAAACTATATTTTCATCATTATTCTTGGAGTTTAACTTCTTATTTTCTTTTTCTTGCAGACATGTATGGTTACCATGGGAAACGAAGTCACGATTTCTTGCGGATTACCATGGCGATGCCTCGTCTCATTGCCCCAGCAAAGAGACTGCTGGAGCAGGGCTTCAAGTTTGCACATTTCCCCATACAGGGTTACCAACCCTATGAGGCCAACATAGACTTTGAGATCAGGTGTGTGTGTGTGTGTGTGTGTGTGTTTGTGTGTATTCGCTGTATAAAAACACTAAATAATCTCTTTAGCCTAATAGTCAGATGGAAGCATTTTAGTCTTTTTTTTTTTTTTTTTACAATTTCTTTGTGAACAAATAATTTTAATACAATGACCATGAAAGTCATGGAATTGTGTGGAATTTGAATGTTATTATTCAAGTCAGGACAACACAACTTTAATCACTGTGCTCATAACTCACTCAATGAGCACAGAAGAAGGAAAAAACAACTGCTAAGAGACACTCATCATTGCTGCATGAGACTGCCCACAGAATGTTTTCTAGGCTCATGTACGCTGATTATTGTGGACTTTATTAGTTATTTGATGTATGTACCTCAGAATATATTTAGCAAGATTTATTCATTTATTTTGATAAGTTAAACATTGTGTTAGCACTGATTGTGGTGGTCTTACTTTTGTCAGGGTAAACAGGTTGTTTTTTAGTCTTCAGTAATTTTGTAGCCATATGGCTCCAGTTAATGAAGACATCAGGGAAGCTTAATGTGCCTTTCTGTGTTGTCAGGTTTATGGTTGACAGTGATGTGGTGGGATGTTGCTGGA